GCTGCTTATGTGATATAACTGCTTGAATGCCTGTAGATGGAGGTCGAATTGCTTAAATTAGGATAACGCATTAATACTGTGAATTTTAAGCCCACTGGATAGTGGCAAAACCATCTTTTCTAAAAGCCCACTTGATGGTGGCAAAACTTGCATTTTAGCCTACTTGCGAGTAGCAAACCATTTTCAAAACAAATATGAAATGTTTTGTTCCAATTTAGGCGATTTGGTCTATACTTGTTTGCTGTGCGCGTAACATAGTAATTTTAGGCTAAATAACTGGAATAAGAACACATAACGTTTTCAAAAACGGATATCATGGTTAGTAGAGGCCGATCTTCGGACCGGGTGAGAGGGGGTGCTCATAGCTGACCTTCTCCAATCGTACCCAAGTTCCCGAGCCGAGGCAACTTTGGTGATGACGGACACGTGGCCTTTGGCACCGAGTCAGGGTTTCCTAAATTCCCCCAAAATAAAATATTTAGGTGGCGACTCTGTATCTGGCAAAGCAGTCCATGTTTGGCACTTCTTTCAAAAATCTATTTTCTCAGAATGATGTGCCAGATTTGGACTCTTTGGTTCAGATTAAGAACCGTGACACAAATTGAGTCTGAACTGTAGCACGAAGGCCTCACGCGAGCGCGTCTACAGTACTCCATGGTTTGAGAGGAGATAGGGGATGGACTCTCAAACTTGTTTGGGAGGAGATAGGGGATGAACTCCATTGATAACTAAGTTGGCCGGAGTGTCTAGGGTGAAAGTTCTGAAATCTTGATTACGTTTGCATAACGTAAATAATTGGAGTATGGAAATGTTTTAATATGAGTTGTAGTCTCATGTGAATTGTGAATAATGGAAGTGTCTTAATATGAGTTGTAGTCTCATGAAATTGTTTGGCAAGATATTGAGCCAGGTTTATGAATGTAAATTGGATAAGTAAAGAAAAGTGGAATGAAACACAGACGTAATTGTCCTAGAACTGGAATGTGTTGTAAGTTGATTTACAAGTGTTAATCATTTATCAAATGCTAACGTTTTAGTTATTGCTCATAATTGGTTTAGTATATCTCTACTGGACTTTGTCTCACCCTATATGGGACATCATTTTCAGGTGCAGGTGATATGCCACCTCCAAGGACGTAGCCCGGGAGGCTTAGAGGCTGGAAGACCTTTTTGTTGTTTTCTTTATGTATTACATGTAAATCAAGCCAAGAGCTTATTTTGTATAAAGAGTTAGGACTCTTCTTTTGTTGAACCCAAGTGTTGACTTGGAAAGTTGTAAACCCATAGGGCATTTACTTTTGTTGTCAACATGTAATACTTTTGTACTTAATACTCTGATAAATAGAAATATGCTTCGTTCTCTTATGTCTTTGCATGTTAAGAATGTTGGGTTTATATGTATTATTTTGAGGGCGTTACAAAAGGAAAATAGGCCAAAGAGCTCCCAACGATCCTCTGGTCCTATCGAACTACTCCTAGGTGAGCAACTTGAGAAACCCCATTCTCTCTCACATTTGGAATAGAAGCTGTCATTCCATTGGAAATTGGATTTTCCACAGGAAGAGCTAACTTAGTGTAGAATGACATAAATGAAAGTCTGATTTTGAAGGAACTTGACCTAACCGAGGAAAAACATGAAAAGGCCTCCTTTTGATTAGCAAAATACCAACAAGAACTAGCTTGGGCCTACAATAAGCGAGTAAAACATCAGCAGTATACGATCGGCAAGTTGGTCCTAAAAAAGGTCCTACCAAGTGACTGCAAGGCGGCCGATGGGAAACTTGGGCCACATTGGGATGGACCATATCAAGTCACAGATCTGGTTGGGGAGGGGGGATATAAAATTGCCGACCAATGGGGAAATGTACTCCCTATACCTTGGAACGCGATGCGTTTAAGGAAATATTATCATTAACCTTGTAACTGTAATGTAATAATGCTTGAACAATAAGCGTAATGAATAAATGCAAGGTTATTCTACTTAAAAGATCTTCTTTTTCATTACTGTCAAAACTATACTATGTGTGCAATCGGCACTTCACATTAAAAAAACAAATGATCGATCAAAACCCAAAAAATGACAAAAAGAGACCTAGATCTAGCAAAGTCTTTAAAAACTATCCAGTTTGACCAGAATAAGGACATCAGGGTTTGGTAAGGGTACTTAGGAGTAGAAAACGAATGATTCTACAACTCCAACTTTCTTCAGTACAGCCCTCCATCCCTCCCTAAAGAAGCTTTCTAACTTGTTTATTTGTTCGAGATAGACGGCATTAGCTTCATTCTATGTAGCTTCAGTATTTGTCTTCAACTCTATATCTCGCCAGGCCTTCATTGCTTCCATAGCAGATTTCAAGGCCTCATGGCCTACCTTAAGCTTATCGAGTTAGCAGGTAGTAGCTTCGAAGTTCCCTTCAGTAGACATCTGACCCGATTTCGCTGCCACAGTCCTACTATCGGCCCGAGCAAGGTCCTCTCAGAGGCAATTCTTTTCGGCCGCCATCTATTTTCTTTCATAGGCGATTAATCTTCTATCTTCTTCCATTTTGCGTCTCTCTTCATGTTGACGCTCCCTCTCTCTAATCAATCTGATTCCTGCCTTCATAACTAGTTCACCGCCTATATCAACAAACTTGTTTACAACTGAAAACACAACATGATTACAACTTTTTCTCAAAGAGTTGGAGAATTATCTTACCATGACTAGGTTCTGAATTCTATGACCCAGAATTTGCTGATTGGACTATCCCTCTAAACGATGAATGTCTTCCTAAATGCGCATGCCTTGCACCATGGCTAGCATAACCCTGGCATCTAAAAAAATGGAATCTCTCATGTTCAGCGACCGATCTCCTATCATCGGTTGAAACACATACTCAATAGGACCCTTTTCTGCGTCCTTTGTTTGCTCTTCACTTGCTTGGATACGCGAGCGATGTGGTGCAGAAGGTGCCCCACCTGGCAAATGTTTTGCCAATTTGTGTATCCCAAGCCCACCCACCTTCTCATTGGTTCTTAATGCCGCCTCCAATTACCTTGTCAGCCAACGTCTTCTTGTTATCTCTGGTGTCGACGACTCTTGATGACTCCGTCGATACAAGAATGGCTGCTTGTTCCTAACTACCCTCACCTTGCTGATCGACTACTTCTAAGATGAGATATAGCACCGATCCTTTCTACTAAGGCTCCTCGGGTGCCTCCACAGCAAGGCTATAGGGGCAGAAGGGGGCAATGGAATAACAACTACTCGAGGAAGGAACTAATCTATTAGCACTTCGACTGATCGAGAAGCAACTGTGGTGCACCGCGAAACAGTTTGAAGAGCTTGCAAATTCACACCCCACGACTCATTATATTGATCAGTATTTACCGAGCGATGATCTGCAAGCACAAAGGAAAATCGTAATTAGTATGACAGACACAACTAAGCAAAAATGGATCATAAGACTCTTTGGAGCAATGCTCACCTGCACCCAACACTCGGGGCATAGTAGCGACACCATCGACAAAAAAAAGAAGAAGTAAATTCCCAGTCCCCTAAAACCATAACTACATCTTTAGTTTCTACTGTGCAAGTTCTATGAAGCACCCCAACAAGAGACCGACCCCGATCTCGGTGTTTGGATGCAAGAAAGGATGGCCCCGAAGAGGATTGATAGAGATTGTAATAGTATTGCAGTTTTTTCAAGCCTAAATCAAGGTTCAACATGTTGTTTTGGGCAAGCATCGCATTTATAATTTTGAAAAAAATTGTATTAAGCAGAAATAGAGGAACTTTATAGTGCGAGAGAATCTCATGAAGACAGGGATAAAGAGAGAACCTCACCCTACTATCTACTACGGCCAACACTAGCCAAGGAACCCTATCATCACTACGGAACAAGAAATTATCATTAGGGCAAGGGGGTTTTACGTTCACTTTAGCAGGAATATCACGGGTAGTTCGAAAATAAGCTAAACCCTTTAGACTACTAAGCAAATAGGCGTATTTCCCTATCTCTCCAAATCTATGAAAACCAAAATAGCAAGAGAAGAACGAAAGAATTTATAATAGAAAGAATAAGGTACCCAAGGGAGGTTTTTTGAACGATGGTATAAGAACAGGGGTCAACGCTAGACGATGTTTTGGTCAAAAATTCTGTCGAAGCAACTATCCCAAATATTAATTCAATGATTTGTATCTCTATCAGTGTAAAGGAAAAAGAAATGGTGCACCATTCTGACACGCATGTCACTTCGTTCGAATAATGTGCCCTCGCATTTAATATCGAATATTGATCGACGTTTCGAATAAGTGACACATGGCTAGGTAATGTAAGCACATTAAAACTAGAGCCCCCAAAACCCTAAAACCTATCCCAATATATCAGCAAAACCGATACCAATCTCTTACTTAGAGCACGGAACAGACCTATGAGGGTTCTTTTAAAAAAAACATATCTCAGGGATAGAACATCAGTAAAAACGATATCGATCTCTCGTTTGGAATAAGGAACAGACCTATGAGGGTTCTTCTTTAAAAAAAACCTATCCTAGGGATAGTACATCGACAAAGATGATGTGGACCTCTTGCTTGGAGCAAGGAACAAACCTATAAGGGCTCTTCTAAAAAAAACCTATCCCAGGGATAGTACATCGAAAAAGACAATGCCGATCTCTTGCTTGGAGCAAGGAACAAACCTATGAGGGTAGTACATCTGCAAAGACGATGCAAATCTCTTGCTTGGAACAAGAAACAAACCTATGAGAGTTCTTCTAAAAAAACTATCTGGCAAAGATGAGACCGATCTCTTGCTTGGAGCAAGGAATAGACCTACGAGGATTTTCTAAATCAAATGAGCCTATGAAGGTTCACTAAAACGAAAGCTTCTTTTAGCATACATCGACAACAACAAAAAATAGACGTTCCAGCTAAACAGTTAAATCTCCATTCACACGATCAAAAACAATGCATAAAACGAAAGATAAGCTAAGCAGAATAATTCCATAACATAAAATCTTTAAACCATCGTAAAGGACATGCCTCAATTGTCTAAGGAAAAAAAAAAGAAGCAACAAACAAAAAACAAAACAAAAATATCATGTTAGTTCATCACTCTACTGCATAAGGGTTTTCAGTTCCAGCCCCTTTAACAATCTCTTCACTCGGTTTTTCCAAGGCATTTGGGCGAAGGTAAGCAATGTTCTTTTTCGGCTCGAACTCCAATAGGACGTTGGCAACTTGAAGTGCAGCCATCCAGCCATCTTCAAAGAGTACGTTCTCTAGTTTGGTGAACTGCACCTCATAAACAGCTGTGGCCTCATTGTATCCCTCCTCCTTGGCAGTCTCGATAGCATCGGCAGAACTTTCCTCAAAAGCAATAAGGGTAGCAGAGAGTTTCTCTTTCTCCTCCTTCAGGACAATAATCTCCTGCAATGAAGACTTCAGCAATGAATCCATCGTCTAAAGCTTCTTCTTAGCCTCCGCCACCTTGCCCTCCGAAACCGCCAGTCGAAGTTGGAGCTCCTTCACCCTCTCGTTTTGACAATCCCTAGAGGTCTTTAATTTGTCAGCTACCTTGATTGTTTTGTTATGGCAAGCCATGGCCACGTAGGTAGAGAACAGACTCTATAAAGAAAAAAAGAAGAAAGGCATAAGGTTGGTAGAAATTCAAGACCTTAAAGAAGAATGATGGTAAGCACTTACCACTAAAGAAAAATGTAAAGCCTACGAGAAGACGGATACATCTGACTATTTGGCCAGCCGAGCAGCATCTGTAGGGAGAATGGAGCAGCAAATAATTGCAAAGGCAACTTTGGCGTTACCTATAGTCGTGTTAGAATTGGTTATCATTAGATTCTTCAAGGCAAGCATGAGGATGATCGGAGACCCGACGGCTGCCATCTTTGAGGCAGAGGCTACAGAAGAAGCAAGCGCAACAACAGAACGGTCTGATCGGATCTTCTTTCAGGCCTTTGTTGCATGGTCAGTGGGACGCTTGCCCAACATCTGGCCCGAATGTTAGGGAGGAGTGTTCTCAATAGTTCTGTGGCGGGGGAAAGAGGAGAATCATCTACCACCACAATCGATGATCTCTGGGGTCGATTAGAGGTAATGGAATCAGAAACAACTTGGGAGGTTGAGGCTGACTCACCATCCCGTTGACGCTTCGTAGCGGCAACGATCTCCAAAAATTCTTCAATGGCATGATGTCCGATATAGTAGTCTTTAAGCTAGACGATTCTTCTTGAGGATATTCTACTTCGGGGTACTACTTTCTCAATATTCTCCCGAAGGTAAGAAAGAACATAGAAATCAAAGCCGCTGTCAGCTCCGAGATCTATGCCGTCAATTGCGATCACGGTGCCGTAGTAAAGGATGTAGGAAAGAAACACTTGGGTCGCCCAACCTTGTCCTTGTTTTGGTGGACCTCTGTACAATTATGCTTATAGAAGAAAGGGAAGGCTTACTTGATCTTCCCACTTGCTGGGATGCGAAAAGACTTCAGGGGCTGAAAAGGGTAACAAAAGAGTGTTAGGCCTCGTTTGGGAACATGTTATTTTAGTAGCCTTTTAGCTTTTTGCAAAAAGATGTGCAGAAAAGTAAGGTGAGCGATGTGATAAGTTATAGTGACTTTTTAATTTTTTGGCTAAAATAGTTACTCCCCAAACGAGGCCTTAATAACAAATATCATGAAAAATAACATCACAGACAAGTAAAAAGATGGAGGTTAACCTGGTCGGTCGGTGACCTTAAGGATAGGTCAGACTCGATTGGCACCAGGAGGGAATTCCCAATTCCCTTCTACTATGACATGTACCTTATTAACACCCTTGCCAGAGTCAAGAGGTATGTGAACAAGTTGACACTTTGTCGATCTAGGCTTGAAATAAAATTTCGACCTCTCTTTGGTAGTACAAACAAAATTATAGCAACACCTAATCTCGGGAAGTCCTAAGTTGATTCCTAAGATACCATTCAAGGCTATTACACCCATAACTATTTTAAAAAAGTTAGGGGAAAGTTGGGAATGGGAAACCCCATAGAAATGAAGCACCTTCCTAAGAAGAAGTAGGGGAAATCAAACTAATAATATCTATTAAAGGGAAAGGAATTCGATACTCTGGTCCCTTAACGATGCTATCAATAGAAGTAGGAAAACAGACGACGACCTCATCAAGGATGTTCTATAGAGTTCTAAACTACGGGATACTCTCCTCGAACTCAAAGAAATGTCTTAGGTGATTCATAGTGGATAAAAGCATAAAAAGAGAAACAAATGGAAATTCAAAATCACAAGAAACAAACGAAAGGGAAGAATGAACTTACAAGAGGGATGAACTGATTCAGATGGTAGACAGAGAGAAATGTGTATAGGCTTTTGAGAAGACGGTGAGCAAAGTGGTGAAGGGCATGGGACACCCCCTCAATTAATGTGTCAAAAGTGAAACGGCGCATGGAAAGACGAAATGACAGATGCATTATTAATATGGAAAAAGAAAAAGACGCATGTCGCTGGCAGAAGTAATGACTCAAGTCCCAGTTTGATTAGTAGTGTTGTCTTTGGCGGTATCCTCCACAGATGACTGCCGAAGAGGGGCAACTATGGAGGGATTAAACATTGGCCCAAACCCAAACTCAGCCAAGCAGGTTGGCCTAAGAGAAAAGCCCATATAACCAAAAAGTCCATTAGATAAGGGGACAATGTCACGTGACCAAAGTATGAGTAAAATCTCCTTCTAAAAAGAGATCTATAGAATGCAAGGAAGCCCTTAAATTCATCCTTAATCAACGGTGAAGATAACAATTGTGATAAGGATGTAAGCCTAGCCTACCCAAACAACACAATTGTCCAATTATCTTAATTGGATGGACGAAGCATTTGGCAAGTTGGCCACTAACATCTGACGTAATCTAAGTCACCCATAGCAAAATGATCCAACGATAAAAGATAAAGACAACCAGGCCACTTGCCCGACCAAAGTCCAGGAGCAAGCAGAGCCCTCGGATCAAATGTTAATCTAACGGTTGGGACCTAAGACAATAACACTAAAAGGAGGAGTAAGAGAAGCAAGAGAAGGACAAGAGGGAACTAAGACTCTTTCTTTGACGAAATACTATATGGCCGATCATCATTCTGACTTGATCGTCAAAGGGTCCTCCCGACCATCTCTGGTCGGGGGTGATCACTGATGAATTGATTTTTCTTTACAGAGTAAAGGAATGGGCACTTCATCTCGCTTTCCCTATGGAGAAAATTTCTACCTTCCACACTATCTTATATGAATCAAATCTAAAAATAAAAATAAAAATAAAGTATAAGTAGGGAGAAGAAATTGAGAGGGGAATTAAACAAAAAGAGACTGCCGACCACCGTTGGATTAGCCTTCTCCCTAGTTTCAAAGGAAAAAAGGGAAAAGAAAAATACAACCATAAATAATTGATTCATGTAATATAACAATCAATCAAAGAAACATTCTAATTCTAGCACCAGCACTACAATTAATGTTCTCCCACTTCATTGATGATTTTAGTCTATGCTTAAACCAGTTCTTGCAGAGATGTCAAAGCTGTTGACCTACCAGAAACCTTAAATTATTCATATTGAATAAAACTATGACAAGATAGGTTACCAACAAAATTTGAACAAATGGCACCAATATGTGTTTGAACTAAAGATCATAAATCATAACAATATGACATTCATGTCTACAAAAAAATTAGGGTAAATTGCAATGACCTTCCCAAAGTTTGGCAAAAATACAATAAATATCATAATTTTAATATAATTATACTGATTAAGCTCTCTTTAATTCTTTAGTAAGACTAAAAGAACCGAAACTAATGACAACATTTTTTCCATCAATACGACTGACAATTTTTTGACGAAAATAACACTAAATGTTATGTAAATTAAAACTTAAAGTAGCCCAATATAATTATGCTGAACTTATGACATTTATTGTATTTTCTTTAAAACTTAAGGGAAGTCAGTATAATTTAACCAAAATTTTATTGATCCCAAGGAAAACAAATTCAAACGATTGCAGTAAACCAAACAGGAGTTTAACAGCACCTCAACATCCCCCCGGCTGTGATATTTTTCACTGCAATAATCTAAGCTAGGAAATTTTATGATCAATACAACATGCATAACGTCGTTCAAAAAAAAAATAAAAAACATGCATAGGGATACTAGCAAATTTGAAAGTATATTTCATAAATCATGTCCTCTGTTTAACTACTGGCCTCAGTTCAAGGCTGTATTTGAATAATGGATTTAGATATAAATTTGAAAAGAAAAATAAAAAATTGAGAAATATGAATAAAAAAAAACTAAAAAATTTCTCTATTTTCCCTTCCATTTCCAAAAGTTATTCAAATTCATAATCTAAACATAGCTTAAATGTGTATAAAACAAAACGGTCGCACTGTATTAAGCTAAAATTTTGAGGGTCATAAATCAAAATTCAAGCACAACTGAGCTACAAATTAAGGACAAGTTCCCAAATTTTTTTCTCATTTTTTGCACTAAAAGACAAAAGTTTTGCAAAACCGAAAAAAACACATCCAAACAAAATATTACATCCAACCCCATAATCATTTCACTTTTTCTCTCACAAACATCACATCCAACCACATAAAAACCCGAATCCGGATCCTCGGCCGCCCTACCCGGCCGCCCTACCCGGCAGCCCCCCAAAACGACGTCGTTTTGGGTTGTTTTTTTTTTTTTTTTTTTTCTTTTCTTCTTCTTCTTCGTTCTTTTCTTCTTCTTCTGCCATAACCAGAGGGGAGGGGAGGGGAGGGGAGAGGGAGAAGAGGGAGGAAGGAGGAGGGAGGAAGCTGCGAGCTCGCCATCGCAGCTCGTCGCCTCGCCGCCGGCCGTCGCAGCAGTCCGATCGTCGCAGCCGTCGCCTCGCCTCGCCTCACCGCCGTCACCTCCGCCTCCTCCTCCTCCTCCCCCACTGGTTATGGCCCCCTCCAGTCCGGCCTTCCCTTCCTCCTCCTCCTCCTCCCTCCTCCTTCCTCCCTCCCTCTTCCTCCCTCCCTCTTCCTCTCCTTCCTCCCTCTCTTCCTCTGCGAAAATTTACCCCCAAAACGACGTCGTTTTGGGGGCTGCTGGAAACGGCCGCCGGGTAGGGCGGCCGAGAATCCGGACTCTAAAAACCCAACTATCTTCCCAAACACTAAAAAATTTTTATCTCATAAAAACCTACATCTAATAAAATCTACATAAAAACTCACTTCTCAAACACCATCGATATAAAATTTTAATGCCTGGTTTCCAAGCTTTCTTTGGTTTCCCTTTTGCTGAGATTTTAGACATAAAAAACGAAAGGGCAAAATTCACTCTATCTTGAGTGATTTTGTTTCGGAATACTTTGGGTGTGTTTGGTTTGGTTTTTAGAGATAAATTTTTTTTAAAAAATTTGGGAAAAGAGTTTAGGAATTTTTTTGATTTGTTTGGTTGTATATTTTGAAAATAGTTTTGGAGTATAGGAGTTTAGGATAATTTGATATTTTGTTATAGTTGAATAAATGTGTGTGAGAGAAAAAATGATTGAGAAGGAGAGAGAAGAGAAAGAAAAAGTGATTGATTGATGTGTAAAAGAGAGAGTGTGATTTTGGGAAAAAAAAATTTCCAACAAAACAAAATTTTGGAAATTGTTTTCAAAAATTGTGTTTTGAGAGTTAAACCAAACAAGACCTTTATCTCTATAAATATAGGCAAAAAAATTTCTTATGATTTTGACTAAAGTGCAAAGCTAATTTTGTTAAAAGTGAGGGAGAAATTACCTAAATACCCCTATGGTATATTCTCTTTCTCTTTTCTCTAATACATATAATTTCCTATCTTAATAACATATTTAACAAATAAAATTATAGTAAACTAAACACCATAATTTATTACCATAAAATTATCTTAATCTAATTTTTAATTTTTAACCTAATTTCTTATTTAATAACATTTTAAATTAAACATAAAGTTACCATAAATTAAACCATAAAATTAATCTACACACCTTAACTTATTACCATAAAAATAAATCATAAAATTATTTTAATCTAATTTTTAATTTAATTTCTTATTTAATAACAGTGTAAAATAAACATATATATAACCAACTAAAAAATTAAACTAAACACTTAATTTATTACCATAAAATTACCTTATTTAATAAATTTTTAATTAAACATATAAATATATATACTAACAAATTAAATCATAAATTAATCTAAACACCCTAATTTATTATCATAAAATTACCTTAACCTAATTTTTAATTTTTAACCTAATTTATTATTTAATAACATTTTAAATTAAACAGTTACACACACACACATATATATATATATATATATAAAATAAAATAAAACCAAAAATTAACCAAAATAGTCTAATATACAACCATAAAGTTACCATAATCTCCTATTTAATTTTTAATTCAATTTCTTATTTAATGACATTTTAACTTAAATTAAATTAAATTATTTATGAAAGATAACAATTAGGGCTAGGGATTGGTTAGGATTAAGATTTAATTTAGAGAATAAGATGAATATAAGAGTATTATTAACATTTGATACCCACTCTCACTTTAGGAGAGTGGGGCTCACCTTCCGTAATTTTTAATGGAAAAACTAAACATAGCACTTTAGTCCAAAATCATAAAGGAATTTTCCGCCTATATTTAAACCATAAAGAGTAAAGTATTTTGAGACTAAATCATAAAAGGTAAAGTGAATTTTGTCCAAAATGAAATCACCACCACCAGTACTTATCTGGTTTGTGTTGAAACTCTAATAGATGACTGGAAAAAAGAAATTATATCAGTGTGTTTGGTTTTAGTTTTCTAAAAATTGAGTTTTTTTATTTTTTGTGTGTTTTGTGAATATTTTTAAAATTTTAAGCAATTTTTTTTTTAGATGCACCTTACTTAAATGTATCTAAATAGTAAAATATTTGTGAAAAAATATTTTTAAAAACTAATAAATACCCAAAAATAGAAAAAATGTACTGAATTTTCATTAATTTTTTTTTTGTATTTTTGTTATTTGGTAAATTTTGTAAAGATTTTTTTCACAAATATTATATTTTTTAAGTGTATTTATGTTAGGTGTCTAAAAATTAAAAAAAAAAAATTGCTTAAAATATTAAAAAAATTCATTGAAAAAAAAAATATATATATATATATATATGAAAAAAAAAATAGAATTTTCTGAAAATTATTTTCTAAAAATCAAAACCAAACAAGCTGATTTATATTTTGATCTTAAGGATAAGTTTCACACACATGTAACTCAGCTAAATTGCTGGATTTAGTCACAGTGAAATCCTGTACAAGTAATAAGGACCAAATAGTAGGAACAGAAGTAGAATAGCGGCAAAGATTAAAATGATTAATATTAAAATAATACTGTTTCCAGTCAAGATTACTTTTTTTTAAAGATTCCAAAAGATGTAAGTTAAGTCAAATATCATATCTGCAAGTTTTGCAAGGTTGCAGTTCAATTTGAGGCTGCTTGTATTTACCTAACCATCATCCTCCTTGTCCTTCCTACACTTTACAACTAGTCTTTCTTTTGAGATAATCAATCAGTAGATAAATAAGAAACAAAATGAAACTAGGTCTATCTGGCCATTAGAACAGATGACTTCCCCATCTTCCTTCATCAGACCTACTAGATATGGACTCTTTAAATCGTCCAAACTGTTAATGTACACTAAACCTAACCCACTAACCTAACCCACTACATCCACTCCACTAAACCTAACACACTTACCATCTCCACTACCACCCACCACCTCCACTACCATCCACTACCACCACTCACCTACCTCACACCTCTCCTATATAATAGCTTGTAATATACAAAATCTAAATACAACAATCTTGTAACAACATCAATCAATAATATCAATCAATACATAATTCATTCTCTCTGTTTTTCTCTCTATCATTTTCTCTTACATGGTATCAGAGCTATAGGTTAGCTCTTGGTGATCTTCACCTTCCGGCGGGCGGCAACCTTACCTTCACCGGCGGGCGGCAGCCTCGCCTTGGCCGCCCGCCGGACCTCTACACATATCCAGACTGTAACTTCATCTTCCTCTCTCTTACCTCTCTCTCTCTCTCTAGAGACCAAAGAACACAAAACAAGACATGGGCTGACTCGGGCTCTCTCTCTCCCAAGACATACACATGGGGAGGGATATGGACACCATCTCTCTCTCTCTGCAATTTTCTCTGTTGGGTCTCTCTCGCTGCTCTCTCGCTGCAACAAACTCACTCATCTCTCTCAGCACCTCTTCTCTCTCGGCATGCATCTCTCTCTCTCACTGGTGAGGGATTAAAAGAGAGGTGGAGTTGGACTAATCTGACAGACACACACAGGGACACTCTACAACCCCTTTGTCTTTTTCCATCTATTGGGCCCTTCTTCCTTCTGCCCATATGCATTTCTGGCCGCAGCTGCAGCTGCTCGCTCAGCCTGAGCATGGCTAAGCCCCTTTGCTGCTGTCAAAGCAGCAGCCTTAATCCTTTCCGCTGCATCCTGACCACTTTTCTCTTCCTTCTTGCTTGATGACATCTTGTTAGTCGACAACTAGATCACGATATGCAGATGCTGCCACGCCTATATGCCTAGAAAACCCGTCTCAAAGTTAAAGTCAGTATCCAACTCAGATCCAGATGTTAAAATCTATCACCTCTCCGGTTACCTACCGCAACCAACACCACCTCGCTGCCGCCATCCACTTCTCCACCACCACCTGCGGTTTCATCTCCCCCGCTACCATTCTCTCTCCTACAGTAATGGTGACAGAGGTGGAGAGAGGAAGGTGGCGAACTGGCAGAGAGCTTCGACGGTGGAGGTAGTGAGGTCTTCTTCGCCATGGCTTGTATGGCATAACCTCTGAGTCTTCTCCCTCCAGCAATTCAAATCAACCCTCGATGAAGCTCCTGTCTCCTTTCTTCTTCATATACGGACAGCACCTCTTCTTCTCCATTGGAGGATTTTCGGTTGGGTATCCCCCTGACTCGCTTGCTCATGTGTGTGTTTGTCCCAAATCAAGGCTCTCTTTTCTCCCTCACGAGAGAGAGAGCGAGATATAATTGTATGTCGCAGTAAAGAAGAAGAAGAAGAAGAAGAGGGTTACCCACGTTATTTCCCACTTTTCTTTTCTTTTAATATATATATATATGTATTAAAATCTTGCCTCATCAAACCAAAACCATGTGCACCCACTCTCCCAATCCACCACATGGCCAACCGACTCACAATAATATATCTTATCCCAACTTTCATCATTAACCACACCAGCACTCACTTCTCTCTTTTTTATTTCTTTATTTTACACACTTTTCCACGGAAAGTGAGCCAGCTCTTTTTAAATAATTTTTCATAATATTTTTTTTTACAAAAAAAAAAAAAAAAAAAAAAAAGAAGCAATCAATGTTAAAACAAAAAAAAAAAACAACCAAAACCAAACAATTTCCAATTTGCACAACAAACCATATTTTATTCATCTCAGAGATCAACCCCGATCACATTTTTTACACACAAACAAAAACAAAAAAAAAAAACAAAAACAAAAACAAAAAAAAAAAAAAAAAAAAAACAAAAACATAGACCCTTGTTTTTCTTATCCCCCATCCACAAATATTTTTCTATTTTCTTTATCCATTGTTTTATTTTATTTTCTTTTTCTTATTACACAAAACAACATTCACAAAATCACACCAACAACATTCCACCACCTTGTCATTTTATTCATATCAGGGGCTCAACCCCGATCACAATTTTACATCACCAAAAAAAAAAAAAAAAAAAAAAAAAAAAAAAAAAAAAAAAAAAAAAAAAAACAAAACAACCACACCCACATCCACAGGCAGGATTTTCTTCTCTACTCTGCCGCCGGTCTTTTCTTGGTCATGCCAATCATGGGCCTCTGTGAGCTCGGCAACTGTCCTCAAACAACAGGCTGTGGTATCCTACGTGGCACTGCCAGGCCTGCCGTGGGTGCCCGCATCAACCTCATCTCATTTTACTTTGTGGGCACTCCTGTGGCTGTTGGCTTAGCCTTTTTCCTCAGGGTTGGCTTTAGTGGTCTCTGGATAGGGCTCTTATCAGCCCAAGTCGCATGTGCCGTGTCTATTCTCTATGTTGTGTTGATGCGGACGGACTGGGAAGGTGAGGCTATGAAGGCTAAGAAATTTACTAGCAATGGCTTGGAGATGAGCAATGCTACTACTTGCAATGTGTTGGTGAGAGATAAGGTTGAAAATAATGGAGAGAGAAAAGGGTTTTTAGTTGATAACATGGATGATGTTTGGTAGAGTGAGAATTATACAACTTGGATGATGTTTGAAAACAGAATCGGGTATATAACACTAACAAGAGCAGGCTGTGTTTGATTGGTAAGATTTACTTTTTGCAAGTGTATTGTGTTTAATTTTATCATCAAATTTTGGGCATGTAGAATTATTGAGTACGGAGTTGGCAGGTGGGGATATGCTGATTTGTTTGTTAAGTTTAGTTGCTTTTTGAGAGCAACTCTGATGCCTTAGTTGAGGCTTTGTGATAAAAGCTAGGAACTTCAAAGTTATGTTGTTCATATTCACTCTTGTATAATAGGTTTGTAATAGGGTTCAGACTTAAAATAAATATGACCGAAGTAAATTTCTGAATAAAAATTTTGGGTATCCAACATTGCTTCGTGGTTCTTGAGAGGCGTGGGGTAGTGAATGAGCTGTTTTTGTTGAAAAAGCATACTGTCCCAGACTTTGAGACTAGGAAAACAACTAAGAAATGTAGTGTGGTTGGGATTAATTTGGCATATTGTGGGCAGCATCATGTTTTTGGGTAAAATTAAGAGATAGTGCAAGTGTAAATGAGCTGTTTTTGTTTAAAAACTCTGTTGTCCCAGACTTTGAGACTTATAATTAGAGTGAATGTGAGTCATATATCATGTTCCTGTTAATGTACACTAAACCTAACCCACTAACCTAACCCACTACATCCACTCCACTAAACCTAACACACTTACCATCTCCACTACCACCCACCACCTCCACTACCATCCACTACCACCACTCACCTACCTCACACCTCTCCTATATAATAGCTTGTAATATACAAAATCTAAATACAACAATCTTGTAACAACATCAATCAATAATATCAATCAATACATAATTCATTCTCTCTGTTTTTCTCTCTATCATTTTCTCTTACACAAACAAATTAGTTATGAAGCCCTCAAGAGGGCATTTGAGTTGGTCATAGGCCAACCGCCTAATGCCATGTTAACATTTCTTTTAAAACTACACTTCTATCAACATGTTAAACTCTCATTTCCAATAGATTCCACTTTTCTTCAGATCATAACAGTGTTATCAAAGGCATGCCTACGCCCAAGGCTCATCAAGGCGTAGTCAGTATACTTTGAGACATCTCAAGTCAGGTAATGTAAAATAGACCCCATAAAAGCATATAAAGCATGCAATTTAGGCTTAGGCTCAAGCGCACAACTTGTGCACTTCTTTTAAAATGTCTGTGTAGGAAAAATAATACACACTGCAAAAATAGATTGGGGCATACCTTTTACGTTACAACTGAATTTATGGACCATATAGATGAATCATGTACCTTCATAATGAACTCAAACTATTCCCAACTGTGGGGTAGAACTACTAAAGAATTGCACACACTATTCACAATACCGAGTCATGGTTCGTTCTCTAATGTCAAAGAGTTAAAGAGAGAGTTTTGCAAGAATATTTTTCAGTTAAAACCCACACCCCAATAATACGTCATCCTTGATATTTTGTATATTAGAGATATATAATCACTCACATCTCTATCTCCTGCTGAGATGGGTTGTTGGAGTTTTTATCCTTATCCCCAGGATAAGGTAATTCAAATTAAATGAGTCCTAATAGATTATAATCATGCCACCATGGGCGTCCAAACTAGGGTAAAAAAACCCGACCCAATTTCCGATAGTTTGTTTATTAGAATTATAACTCTTGATTTAATCTTTTTTTTTTTTTTGTGTGTGTGTGTGTGCATGTGTGTGTGTTTTACATGTTAGAAGATTAAATACCTAAACATAAATTGTAATCCAATATTTTTTGAGCCCTATTTATATGAAGACGTTGGTTGGATAGAGCTTTCACTACGACCAAACTAATTGTTGTCACTGTTCTTCTTCTTCATCTCATCTCCTTCTATTTTTCCTTCTCTATGCTTATCTCATTCGACACTTCAATTTTATCACTATTTTTAAATGTTTATGATTTATAAATTAGATTTTTGTGTTTATGTGAACCTTAAATTATTTGTCTATGATAAAATATTTTTATTTGTTGATATTTATGTTTTAAAATATTTAATATTTCATTTTACTTGTGTTGATTCTTGAATTATTTGTTTATATTAAATTATCTATTTTTTAGCATCAACATGAGCCTCACTTCGATGAAACTCTCACCTTGCGCTTCAGTGTGCCTAACACCTTTAATAACACTAGATCATAAACTACTGCCCTAAGAAGCACGGACATGTAACACGACACAACACAACACGGACACGCAGACACGTAAATTTTCAAAAAATACAGAACATGACACATTGGAGACATGTGCAAAATATATAATTTTAAATATTTATTATATTTCATATTTTTAAATATTTATTTTATGTCAAATATTTAATTTTATCAAATTTATCAACTTTAGGTTTGCTTTTTTAGTATTATTTATTTATTTATTTTTGAAAGTAAGTCCTCAGCGTGTTTCCAGGTGTCCCAGCGTGTCGCCAACGTGTCTTAGCATGTCTCAACAGGTCCCCAGCATGTCTCAAGTGTCCCAACATGTCCGATTTTTTCCAGTGTGTCCGACATATATCTGACGCGCGTTCGACACGTGTCGAACACTGACTCATCACCTCCAAAGATGTGTCCGTGCTTCATGTGCTTCGTGACTATTGCCCAAGACTCCATTGAATACCTTCTGATTGTGTTTTATGTCAACGTTTTTAATCTCAATTCTAACATATTCTACTTTTCTAAGATCATAAACTACTGCAAACGCTGCTACAAAATCAAATTTATGAGTCACATGGTTGGGATCATGTAGTTGTAGCCAACTAGCTTCTAAGTTTTTTTATTTTATTTAAATTTACATATTTGATACCATGATGGGCACATTTGTTTGCATCATTTAAGGTGGGATTGAGGTGGAACAACATATGGGCCCACTGGATTTTTAATCACTTTTGATTGCGGGATAAGAGCATCTATAAGGACTCTTAAAATGAAAATTTTTAATTGTTATAATTAGTGTTATCATATTTTAATTATTTTAACGAATTAATTATTATAATAATTATTTTAATAAAAAAATTTAAAATTAATTATATTTGAAGAGTCCTGAGAAATTGTTTAAAAATTTTGTGTAAATAAATAAATAATAGCGCTAAAGTACATAGATAAAAAAAATTTAAAAAAAAACACTTTTTTATAAATCTCTTTTCACCTACTTATATTTCATTTAGTCAATATTATTTTCTTATAATCCAATAAGTCCTATAAATGATATAGTGAATGTTTCGTGATGTGAATGTTCACACCATCAATGTAAATGTTAACACGTTAATGTGAATATTCACATCACATTGTCAATGTGAACATTCACATGTTAATGTAAATATTCACATTATTAAATATGAATGTTCACATTACCAAATTGTTAACCGTTCAAAAAATATTTGTAAAGGTAAAAATATTCATAAAATGCCTTAAATATGAGAATTAGGATTTGATAGATCAAATGTCAAAATAATAGGACTTATTGAAATACAAGAATATCTTATAGAGTAATTAGGATATAAATACTTGAAAAAGAATTTTTTAATAAACCTCTCTAAAAAAAATTAAGCAAATAAAAAATTACCTCTTTTATATTTAACAAATAAAAAAAAAATATGATTAGAATTGCTCTACGAAGGAAAGAATTAGAGGTGAGAAACATCTGGGATACGCACCTATTTTAGTCCCATGATGAGTATTGGGTCGTTTCTCACAGCTTTCTCTCTTCTTATCAACTGATATTTCTAAACCTATTTACGTTTTCAATTAACACGTCCTCTCTCTTTCTCTCTCCAATTAATGCAACCACTTTCTTTTTCTCTCTATTTATATGAGATATATATATAAATGCAAATTAATGAATTCCCATTCAATTAGTACCTGTCTCTCTCTCTCGCCATTGACAATTAGATCTGCTTTTACTTTTCATCTCTCACTGGCCAAACCTTAAAAATGATGGTTAAAAATCACCTTACTTTTAACTTATTTTGAGTTATTATTTTTTATATTTTTTTAAAAAAAATTTAAAAAAATAAAAAATCAACTTTTAACCATCTTCTCAAAATAACATAACGTTCATGTAAGTCAAAAAAATAAAACTGAATGAATCCCAAAGTTAAAAAAAGAAAAAAATGAAAAAAAATTCTATCTATGCGATGTGAACAAAATGCATCAACGTTTTGCTAAAAGGAAAAAAATAATAACAATAATACTACAGTTTACTAAAAAATTTGCATGAACACATGACTAATGATATGGCGCCAAGTTAACCTAACTTTTCAACACTAGGAAAATATTATAAGCCCTCGTTTGGCAATCCACACTTGGGCTAATTTAGCCATAGCCGTCCAAAATAGGCTAAATTAGCCACAAGAGACAAAAAAAAAAGAGTCACGTGGATGGGAAAGGGTTTAGCTTGTGTGTAAATTACCAAACTACCCCCATTGCCAATCCGTTTGTGTCACAACAGCACCAAAACAAACCACACACTTTACCTCACCTAGGGCACGTTTAGATGGGAAGAAGGAGGCAAAAATTGAAGACTACCATCAGCGAAGAAGAACAGCAACTCAAGCTGTCCATAGCCCAAGCCCACCGGAGTGCACATCGGCAGCCACACTGCAACCATCGCATCCTCACCACCACCAATCGTGAGATACATAGATTTTTTTTTGGTTTTGGGTCAATTTGGTCTCCTTCAACCTGATCTGCTAGAGTATTCATTAATCGACCATTTTTTTGTTATGTAGATGTTATTTGTTTGTTTGGTATGTAGGAAAACCACAGTATAATGATGGATGCTCCATAAATTCTGATGGATCTTGATTTTTGTTTTTCTTTAGAAAATTGATCTCTGAAATTACAAGATGCATGGTCCGTTCCATTTTTTTGCTCAATACTTTGATTTTGCGTAGCATTTATATGCCAATTTTTGAGAAATTTGGTCTTCTTTTTCTTTTTCTTTTTTGCCATTCTTTACATGTCTTGTTTATAGAGACTAAATTATAAATTTTGTCCAGATGAAACATTATCTAAAACATGTCATGTTTTTTCCATTCTTTCCATTCTTTACATGTTCTATTTATAGACTAAATTTCAGAGTTTGTCAAGATCAAACATTATCTGTTTATAGACTAAATTATAATCTGGAAAATTATCTGAATTTTGATGAGTTGAGAGCTGAGTACTTTTTTTTTTTTTTTTTTTTTTTTAATTTTTTCATGTTGGAAGCTTTTTTTTTTTTTTTGTGGGGATTTGGATCCTCTCCATTTCACAGGGAAATATTGATTCATATATCTTCTACGAATACTGATTTCAAACTATTTCTACTTGAAATGCATGTTTAGTGATCATAAAATTTGGTGAAATCAATATATCGATCTGGGTCGGTACAAATAATGTGTTTTGATATGATTTTTTATGGGAATTAAAATTAGTTTTTATGAATTAAGGCTCAAAAATATCAAATTGAATATTTTTTTATTAGTAATTTTAATATGTCGTTCACTTTCAGCCTAATGTCATTCTAACGCTCATGAGGTTTTTATTTAAGATAATTGGTTTTTGGATCAAGTATTAAAACAGACTATATTAAGGGTAAATGATGAATCTATTAGATCAGTAATAGACATACGCAGAGTTTGTATAAATGAAACATAACTTTCTCGCTTGGTGTGCAACCTTTGGTAACAATGGTTCGGGGTTTGGCAATAAATCCACCTCAAGCTTGATCTAGGTCACTACGCTTAAATCTTCTACAGATGTGTCATTTTTCCAAAATTTGAAACCAACTCGCAGCTTATGTATAAGTGGTTATAAGTTATAACTTAACTACAACAACTACACCAAGACTTTAGGTTCTTTTGTAATTATTCAAGTCACCAGTTCTCTAAAGATTTTGGCCATCATACTGGTGCTTAAGCACCACTAACCCTAAATCTTCTTCTGACTGATCACATACCTTTTTTACTTTTTGCATATCCCATTCATATTTGTTTTTTTTTTTTTTTTTGGGAAATTTCAAACAAATAAAAGAAATGGCAGATTGTATATGTGCCTTTGGAATGGTAATTACAACTATTCATTTCATACAGAAAAAACAAAAAGTTGAACAAATGACCAACCATTCACACCCATTCCCATTTATTATAAGAAAATGTGACATGATCATATATTATTGACAATAAGATACCTAATGAATAATTGTGGAACTCAATTTTGTCTGGATAAAGTTTCTATTTTATGCAAATTTTTGGTTTCATTTGTTACAATATTTGTAGTCTACATATAAATAATATGAATTACACTAGAATAATATACAAGCTTTTGGTTTACTATTTGTCAAGTTATTTGTGCTTGTAAAAAAAAAATTCTTTTGTAAAACCTCATGTTTTTAGAAATAAATGGGGACATTTGTCATTTTATACAGAAAGAATTCTTAAACTATGAATTATGTGACACTTACATGTTAACATATTTGTTGCAGAAGTCATTTACACGGCCCGAAACAAACTAATGGCTTCTTTTACCTCAATTGCAACTTTCACTACATGACCACGTCAGATGTGTGTCTGTGGCTATGGTCAATGTATTGTGAAGATATCTAGATCGAAAAAAAATCTAGGGCGTCCGTACTTTGCTTGTCCCCGCCCTGTGGTGAATGCCCAATTCAATAACGATCATAATTGCATTTAATTCTAAACCAATTGACTAATAACTTCGTTATTTTCACTCGTCAGCCCTGTGTCAGTTGGATTGGTTTGTGCGAAGAACTAAGAAGACAGAGCACGAACTATGCGTCCTCCACAAACGACATTGTCATGCACTTGCGGGATGATGTCATACACATTCAACACTCGTTGCGTCTCGTAAAACCATTGTTTCTGTGCTGTGCATTGTTGTTGTCATTTTGTTGTTGCGTATGTAAGCAAACTTAGTGTTTGGAGTGCATGACTGTTGTAATGATGTTAACTGTAATCACTTTAATTTCACCTTTGGTTCCAGGAATAGTTCGGGGGAGACATTAACGACTACTTTAGTGCAACGGAATTATTTAACAATTGTTTGTATTCTTATGACCACTTGTTCTGCATGAATGTTATGTGTTGCTATGCTTATTTTTAATTATTGTGCAGTCATTCCCATGCAATTTTGTGATTGTGATCATTTTGGCTCATTAATTACTTGGCATGTATTCCTGGTTAGTCCAAATGGCTTCCATACGTACTTCTCCTTGGACCCTTTTGAAAAACAAAGACATTGCAACAGAGAAGTCTAGTAGTGTTGAAGAAACACAAAAGCGGTTCAACCACAAAGCATCCTGGGATAATGAATCAACCCGGATTTTCTTGTTGCTGATTATTGATGAGATTACAAAAGGGAATCACCCATTCCTAGTCCTAAGCCAAACTAGGTACAAGTCGTTGGCAAAGAAATTTGAAAAAAAAAAAAAAAAAAAAACATGGGCTAAAACAGTTGAAGAATAAATATGAGTCTAAAAAAAGAATGGAATGCTTGGAGGAAGTTGATGGATTCCAGCAAAGGAATTTCAGGGATTGGATTTGACAGCGAAACCGGTTTGTTTCAGGCATCAAATGTGTGGTGGGATAAGATGGAATCGGTAGGTAAATTGTTATTTCCGCATGTTTGTTTTGTTTCATATTTTTTTGTTACAATTTATATTGGTTTTTGTTGGTAGTGAAAATTCCTCATATTGCATGTAGTAACAGTTTTTATTTATAATTTTCATTTTTCAGACAAATAAGGTGTGTGCAAAGTTTAGGAAAAAAACTTTGGAACACCGCGAGTTGATGGGGACCGTTTTCAACAGGGGCATCTGCTACGGGTAAGAACCATTGGACCCCGGGAGAGACAGTAGCTGAACCTGCAACGATTTCATCCGATTCAGTTGACAGTATAGGATTGCGGCCATTCATTGATCCGATCCCTGCATGTGCAGTTGACGTGGATCAAGATTCTTCAATGGAACCAGTTGATACTGCAATGAAAAGGAAACGAACTCCATCAACAAGTTGTGCAAAGTCAAAGAAGGCAACAAGTGGTGGGCTAATTATAGTGGAAAGCATGAATAATTTGACAAACGTGGTTCGGAACCAAAATTAGCAAGTCACCGTCAGGCACCTTACTGGTAACAAATCACTATACACAATTTTGGAGTGCATGCAACGGCTCAAGGCCATTCCTTCCCTTCTCGGTATGCTGCTATTCCATTTTGCGTCGACACTAATGGACAACGCAGATTACCGGAAGGTGATGATATGCTAGCCCGATGACGACCACATTATAGGCTAGCTGACACAGAAACAACTGCAATGCAATGTAATGCTACTGTGCTATTTGCGAACCTGTTCGAGGCTTGACGGGTGTGATAACATGTCATGCTAAATATTGCCTTCCCTTCTCATCGTTGAAAATTTTTAATTACCGTGGATGTTAGGCTGTAATAAACAGGATGGTTGTCTGTTATTTTCTTTTTTTTTTTCTTAGCTCCAAAAAACATGATGGTTGTGTGGTTTTTATGATGGAACAAGATGCTTATGTCTGGTTTTTATTATTCACAACGGCGGGCTACCGTGTCATGCTTGTTTATTTATTTATTTTTTTTATAGCTTTATGTACCGTTATTTTGGTTGTGTTGGTAATGCAAGTGAATAATTCTTGGTTTGTATATTAGCAAGTAGCAGCAATTTCAGTGTTTTTTTATTATGAGTTGATAGCTTCTTACATGCAATTGTACCCGCCTGTTAGGTATGTTCGACATGGTCACAAATAAAAGTGGCTTTGAAGGTCAATTTGGTTGTCTTTCACAACTGTTATTACATTATCCCAGTCCATCACAGGTCAACTGATTTGAACCGTTCCTAATATTGTAGGTGTCGCTGAATTTGACGTGATGAACATCGGGGATGGTAGCAACAATGATGGTCAAGTGGAAATGCTTAACCAAATGGCCATACAGTTTCAACAACAATATAACTGGACATTTCTCAAAGCATGCCGATATGTGCAAGAGTGGTACGAAAAACATGTGTAAGACGCCATGCCGCACTTTTATTTTGACTGAACATGCATAGATAACCGAACTATATGTGGGCCATGTCGGTCGATTTGAGGAAAATGTGTGCATGCCAAAGGACGTGTTTGCATCTTTGTGTGACACGTTAGTTAATGATTTTGAGTTACAAGTACCGCAACGTGAACATGGCTTAGCCGTTCAAGAAAGTATTGCAATGTTTTTCCACATGTTGAGAGGGTTTCAAAATCGCGAAAATCCAAGAACGGTTTCAACATTCGAGAGAGACTGTGTCCCGACACATGCATAATGTTTTAGCGGTGATGAAAGAGTTCACTATTACACATTGCAGGCCAACATATAGTCAGCATGATACATATCTATACGTGCGATCTAAACGGAAATACCTACCTTTCAAGGTACTATTTTCAAACAAGACTCAGTTAAGTCTATTTAAATGTTTGAAAATTATTTTGACGTGATGTGTAAAAAACACAGTGCTTTTAGTGTCATCAACATTCGAACAAAAACCATTTCATGTACGGGATGTTTGTTTCATTGACAAGATGTTTGTTCAAAATTTAAAAGCAGAATGGGAAGTAGTGCAAAGAAAAAGTAGTAAAATTGCAATGTCTATCCAATAACATATTAAAGTTTTTTTATGCCATTTCAAGTAATGTATAACAGGGAACAACTAGACAAAAAAAAGAAAAAGGATAAACCAGCATCATGTAAATGTTGAAGTGAATGTGTAGATAATAGGGTTGTTGGCAGGATTGTATCGGAGCTATTGATGGAACAAATGTTACTACGCGGGTTATAGGGCCAAACGCTCCAACATATTTTGGTAGGAAATACTATCACACCTAAAATATCATGGCCGTGTGCGATTTTGACATGTTTCACCTTCGTATCGCTTGGATAGGAAGAAAGTATGCACGATAGTCGCATCTTCAATAAAATAATCACAAATAACAATGTCCCTTTTTCCACATCCTAAAGAAGGTATCATATTACATTTCCATTTTTTTTGGTACATAATATTTAAAAACAAAAATAAAATAAAAATTATCGCGGTATTTAATTTGAATTTCTGATATTTTTGTAGTAGGGAAATATTATCTTGTCGATAGTGGCTATCCAAACCGCATAGGTTACCTAGCAGCCGTTACCACCAACAATAATTCCGCGTTATTGAAAGGCGTAGGACAACAAACAACCCCAGAGAATTATTTAACAAAGTTCACGTGTCGTTACGAAGTGTGGTGGAATGCACTTTCGGCGCATGGAAAAATCGATGGGGGTTTATTCAAAATATGCCTCGATATGATTTTGCAAATGTGCAACTTCAGTGGATTGGTGTGTCAATGGCATTACATAACTATATACGTAGAAATACTAGCAATCCAACAACTATTAACCCCATCTTCAACGAGGAAGAGGCTATGGTAATAGTAAATGGCGTATCGAAAGTTGCACATGACGAGGATGGTTTAATGGTTGGGGATGAGAACCCCCATATGGCATTGGCGCGAGTTTGCATATGGGACAAGTTAGTGTTCATGCGTAATAACGGAATGTTATAAAACATATAGTCAACCTAATATTCGTATGCTTGTAACATTGTTCAGCCACGGTCGGGATGTATGTGATTATATTATATTGCACAATATGTATGTGTTTATACGAAAAAATGAAAGTACTATTGTTTACGTGCCTTATTTTGTAAAATTATTGGATTGAAAAAAGAGAAAATTTGTGATGTATTTGTCATAATTAAGCATGGTAGCAAAATGGCAAACCACGGTATTATGATTTGATGATCGTGACAAAAAAATAAAAAATTTTAAAGAAATAAAATGGGCACGTACTATGTCGAAAAATACAATATTTGGTCGTCAACTCAATTTTGGATAAAAGGTAGTGGTATATATGATTTGTACCAACTTTTTTTTAACAAATTGCAAAACAAGTACAGGTGATGTGTTCAAAAATAGATACCAAAAGGGAAATTTATGGGTGTGTTTGGTTTGTATTTGGAGATAAATTTTTTGAAAAATATTTGGAGTGAGAGTAACTGGAAATTTTTTGGTTTGTTTGGTTATATTTTGAAATTAGTTTTGCAGTTTGGGAGTCTGGGATGATTTGATGTAGTTGAGAAGATGTATGAGAGAGAACAAGTGATTGAGAATGAGCGAGAAAAGAGAGAAGTGATTGATTGATGTATAAGGGAGAGTAATTTTGGAAAAAAAATTTCAAAAAATTTGAACCAAAGAAAATTCTGAAATTTTTCCTCAAAACTGGTATCTTGGCATACAATTTTTTACAAGCCCTCCGTTTTTTTTTTTAAGAACGGTAAATTCTCATTTTTCCCGTAATTATAAAAAAACAAAAAATAAATAAAGAAAACAAAAATAATAGGCTGATGTGGCAGTCTTGCAACCCACACGCCCAAGTAAATGAACGGCAAAGGGAACACGATATGCCCAAAGGCATTTGGGTAATTTTACATATGGACACCTCACCAAAAAGTTAAAAAGTCAAAAAGTCAAAAAAATTCTATCCCAGACCAGGCTTTTTAACCGCAGGCTAAAATAGCCAAAAAACTAAAAAGCCAAAAAATCAACCCACATCCCAAACGAATTGTTTCGAAAGACATAAAAGTATAATTTGATAGACAAATAATTTATGCACATAACTAAAAATAATATATGCAAAAATATAAAAACATTCTTTAGATAATTAGCTTAAGATCAGGGTTTGTCTCAGACTCTGAAACACAATTCAACTACTATAAAATAATTTATTAAAATATGAAACTTACATCTTCTTTAGTACCATAATTGTTAATAAAAAGTGAGTTGGTTATAGGTTAAGTGATAGGTCAACACGAGTTTCTTAACTAGATCTTACAAGAGTGATTTAACTAGACATAGCATTAGAGCCACAATTCACTAAAAGTTTTTAGAATAAATAAATTTTACATATAGGCATGGGTTTCATAGTTTTGACAAACTAATAAATTTAGAAAAATATAAATAAAAAATGAGTACTGAGGAGTCCAAACTGACCTGGAGTTGGTTGGTGCAGCCAGAGCAAGCAGGAAGCCAACTAAACACAGAAATTGGCGACCCAAGCACCAAGTTGATCCGCAGAATGATGTCTTCCTGAAATCTCTCCCTCAATCCAAGCCATGAGATTGTCATATTCACTAGAATCAATGGATTATATTACAGCCAATTAATTTCACTTGTCATCCCCATACAGGGGAGAGGGCATATTGACAAAAAGTTAAGAAAAGAAAAAAAAAATCTTGTTGAAGTTCATAATTATCTTGTCTTTCTTAGAAATGCAAACTCAGGCATCAGAGAGACTTTGGTTGGCACCATACAGCAAGTCCCACAGTTTTGACATAATTGCACTCACTTTCCTTTTAGTAAGGTCAAAGAAAACAAAACTAATGCAAATGATTTGAAAATACAAAGATTTACAAGGTAAAATATACATATAAATGTAAAAGAGATTATAACTTCATTTTTTCCTCCATACGACTAACGAATTTCTAATGAAAAAGAGTCAAAGTGTTATATATTAAAGCAATAAGGGAGCCCAGTATGATTATGCCAAACTTGTGAGGCTTACTGTATTTTCTCCAAACCTTAGGGGAGGTCAGTATAATTTACCCTTTCATAAAAAAATAAGGTCAATGAACTCCTATTAATTATTGTGATTTCCAACCAAATTGGACAACTACAATTAACAATAGAAGATCAATTTCATCAATCTTTTCTCCCCCCCTTTTTTAATTCCTATTGTAGATTTAGAAATGTAAAATCAACCCACTACATAACCCTCGAGCAACCACAAATGCAACAAACAATTGAAAAACTGTTTCATCCGCTTCCTGCACATATAACACCAATTATAAAGCACTTTTTTCTTCAATTTCGTATAATATTAATCATCATTTTTTCACCGCTATCGTAACCCAAAAGTAATCATGAATGACAATCTACTCTCTAGACAGCATACACACCCTTTTGACAGAAGTTGAAGGTCCTTTGCCCCATAAGAGCTCACAGAACAGTCTCTCGCCATGAATTTTCCACTCCTCAAGACCTTTCACGAGAAAGCATCCTCCCTACCCTTTGGACCAGTTTAATGAAACAAATAATGCATGGGCTGCCTCCAGCTCCCACACAAGCAAAAAACAACCTAATAAAATAAGGATGCCAAACCCCTCTAAAACACTAACATAGTTCACAACACCATAATCCCATAAATGGTCCTCGCTTTGCCCAACTTTCACCCAACCCTAACACTCCTATACATCCCTTCCACCACCCACCACGGTCCACAAGCCTGTTGGCCTTGATCATAATCACTAACTTAACAAGGATTAGTTGAACAACTCAAGAGCCTAACACCCAGACCACCTGCCTTACTAGGAAACAGACGTCATTCCACCCGAAGTGGTATTTCAACTCTACTACCAAATTCCAACCCTACCCACAATAAATCCAGCTCAAGTCTAACCCTTCTATCAGATAGGCTAGAATGGTAAAGACTGATAAAAAAATAAATAAATAAATAAACATAGGCAAATCAGATAGAGTACCCTTAATGGAAGTAAGTCCATTAAAGTTGAAACAGTAGTGCAAAAGGCTACCTTTTTCCGCCTGCCCTGCCTTCTCTTCCACTTTTTGACAATTGAGTTGCGCATTATGGCCTTAGTAGATGAACCCACAGTAAAGAAGTAGGTTCAAGGAAAGAATCAATCAGCAGCCAACCATCCTATACCACTAAGAAGCAGACAACTCCACCCCAAGAGCGCGTATTCATGTCATGTGGTCACTATATCTCGTAAGAAGTTGAGTCCATGTAAGAATAGTCATTCCACTAGGAAAAGAATGTCTTATTTTCCCCTGATAAGAACAATCATCACGTTTGCATCATGTCCAATTAAAATTAACAGAAGTCAAAAGCATTTGAGAATGTTTGCTTACACTACTTCTGGCTTCAAAATACTCTGCTTTTGCTTCCATTCACAATTTTCTGCATTCAAAATGTTGCAAAAACCAAAGAACTAAAATATGGTTACTGATATTCTTTTGTTTCCTTCTTCCATTTTTTTTTTTTCCATAGATAAATTAAAGGTATTAAAAAAAGAACAATTGTGATGTGACTTAAACTTATAATATCAAAGAAGGAGAAAGAGAAATAAAAAATGAACCTTATTGTATGAATTTTATTTAGCTTATAATTATGATGGACAAGAATGAAAGGAAAATGGAATTGCAAACTACTTCAGTTCCTGTTTTGATCTAATCCAAGTGTTGTTCTTCCAAGAATGAAGTGAACATATTCCATGCTAATGAATTTGAAAAAATGTAACACGTTATGTGTTGTCTACAAAAAAAAAATGTCATTATGTTTTAAAAGAGCTAGAACCTATATTGCACTGAAATGGATTACCATCTGACCTGCCACAAGTAAGCAAGTTAAATCAGGCAAATTCAGAAAAAGATTTAAAGCTACAAAAATTTATTAAATAATATTGTAGAGGCAAAGGATATGTGCCCGAGAACCAAAGCTTAAGTACAGAACCAATAAGGGTAGTTCAAAAAAATATCATTCAACTCAAACCTAGATAGTATAGTAGGAAGGAATGAAATTTCCTAAGCCAAAGGCTTAAATTATGTGACTACACCATTATTTCATAAGCCATGATAAATCTAAATTAGATACGTATGGAAAATAAAACTAATAATGAAATACATTGATTTTATCTGCTTAAAATAGGTTTTTCACTCATTGACAATTATTCATGCAATGTAGTCCACTTCAAGGAGTAAGTATCTGGTAATCCGCACCTCTTATGTGTATGATGGACATGAAAAAACCATGATGTCATTACGCTTTCCATCAACAGAATAATTTAAGCTCCCACAACATAAACAAGTCAAACTCAACAAGTGGTTATTCAGAAAAGGCAAATTAACAGTGTCATCCAACTCAAACTTCATTACATCTCATAATGTAAGATGGAAACTTACAATTCGCATAGCATGCCCACACAGGCCAAGAGAAATATCTGAGAGAGTAGTGGCATCCTAATAATTCACATTTGTGTAAAGAAACAGTATTGGAATGACAAATAAGCAGAGTACTATTTTATAGAATTTAAATAGGATCAAGCAATAAAATTGGCAAAGACCTAGCTCAAGGACATATGGGCAAGAAAAACAAAATCAACTCTAATATCTTCAATCGCTTGAGTTACTTGAGATGAAAATATGTAAGAAAAAACAAATGGACCCATTTATAATCGAGTATAATCCAATCACATAATGAACAAAAATCACAGCTCACTAAAAGTATTTGTTAGTACTCCTTGAAGAATCCTAAATTACTCTATTCATTTTTCCAAGCACACAAAATCAGCGAAAAACCAAGACATTGTGATTGAGAATCTCGGAATCTCTGCGACCAAGACCTGGGCAATGTATGGGGATCTGACAGGGGTTGGCTTGCCCACAACTTCTCGGCTGAAAGGCTTGTCTTGAACATAAAAACAGCATTTCCAGGTGATGTACCAAACAACCAGTTATGAACATCCCAAAATACTTCTACTTCGAGGCCATCAACCAAGATGGTGTGGTTACCCCGGAACTTCCATCGGAGACGCATCACCTGCATCAGAGTCTTTGTGTCTACACGGATCACAAGGCACGGGTCGTTGACACCACCGGTATCACATTCAATTGTGAGGTCATGGAGTGGGCCATTATCACAAAACGGAGCCTTGGTGCTGAATATCTTCTTACCAAAGATGTGCTCTCTCTTGGAAATGAAAACAGCATTGGAGGGAACAGGTGTTGCACCTGTTTTCTTGAAAGCTTCTTTTCTCATGTCCCCGAGAAGGAGAATCATTTGTTGATTAGATACGAGCCCCATGTAGAATCCCTCCAATGGCTCAGGCCCGGATCCGAATTTAGCTGATGAAAGATCCCAATAGATATCAATTTTACTAGAACCTGCTTCTAAACTTTTTGACCCTTTCCTCTTAGAGAACAACCAGGGTTTTATATCAACCTTGCATACACATTGATTAGAATTATCATCAATCCCAACACTGAGTCCTTGACCCATCAAATTCTTACTCCATGTGACAGTAATCAAGCAAGAACGGCCACGTAATCGACACTGATACACACAAGAAACCAAATTCTGGGCAGTTCTATTGGTACTAGATGATGAGAAATCAGCAACCTGAACCCCATTTTCACCAAAACAAGAAGGAAAATCCTTCATACTGATGCAAGAATAGCTTGATTTCTCTCTTTGGTATATCCACAAACAGTTGGATTCAGAGGATGGAGAAAATTGAACAAGTAGAGTTTCACAAAAGGAAAGCCCACATACCTCAATCAATCAGAGATAAACTCAAAGACCCATCTCAGAAATGCTCAAGAAACCGCCAAGCAAGGCTAGATTTAATCTGGGCATAGAGTTTCAGATGCATTTCTGCAAAAACCCAGAAATCTAAGTTCATTAAAAGGATGAGGGTCCCTCCAGATTAGAGACAAAATTGGGGAATGTAGGTAGTAAAAATTAATTCAGAGATAGAAACAGACAAAAAGGAGACTACTCAAGACTTAATTTTACTGTCAATAAATCTGCCAAAGACCAATTCTATATACTTATTGAAACATAAACAAACATATATAAACCTGTAAACATTAAAAGACAAAGGGAAAAAAAAAAAAAAAAAAAAAAAAAAAAAAAAGACACAGAGAGAGAGAGAGATCAGTAAATAAATACCTCAAGATGGAGACAGCTAAAATACTAATAAAAAAATGAATGAAGATGAAGGGAAAAGGCAAGAATGTAGCAACTGGGTATGGCTGTAAAGGCTGGTTTTTGAACAAGACTCTACACTGAGAAAAGGGGAAAAACAAAAAAAGAATCTTTCTTAGTTTCTCTCTCTAAGCTTTCTGGCTTATCTTCTCTCTCTATCTATGGCTTTGCTTTAGCTGACAAAGCCACATGTGATGACATAGCTAACAACCAAAGTAGACATGCCAATTGATACAAACAGATTGTTTTTTTTGCAATTGCAAGATTCTCTCTACAAGAAAGAAATTTGAAACTTTTTTGTACTTCAAAAATTTTGGGTTCAGAAGGGTGTGCCTATATATGTGTGAAAAGTGAGAGTTGAATTGAAACTTCCTCTTTCATTTCAAGAAAAAATTAAATACGATAAAATTTAATGTTGTAAATTGGTCAATTTTTTGGGTATTTATTGTTTTATTTTTGCATGTATTTAAAATGGAGGAGATTGAGAGACAGTAAAGAAAGAAAGAAAACTGTTGCTAAGAGTGGGGTCCATGAAACATGTTTAATGCAACCACGATGTCACATTTTAATTGGTCAAGAAATGCAATCCCCAGCGCCAGAAGTTTTCGTCGACCAACCCATTGTTTTTAATTTGGTTTTGTCACATAGTCCACGAAATCTTCAACATACTGCCAACCCATCATTGTTTCCGAATAAAATCTACAAATATAAAAACAAAAATACTAGACTTACTAGTAAACATTTTATACAATTTGATAATTTATTTGAAATTATGTGATTACTGTATAAAATATTTAATAATTTATTTGTAGTTCTGAACATTGTTTGAATAAAAATTGATTATAAACTGTCAAGATTAGTCTCACGGTTAGGGAGCTTTAGGCTCTACTTGTGAATTGACTATTTTAATTAAATTTTTATAAAATAATGTGCATAAAATAAAAAGAATGACATAATAATTTATAGTAATTTTTTCAATTTTTTACTACAAACTCAAGTCCTCAAACGGGCCGTAATGTCCATTTGACAACTTGACTATTTATAGTAGTGCTTTGGTTTTTAATTTTTTTTTATGAGGTAAAAAAGTTAGAATGTTTGTGTGTATGCTAAAATTTGATCTAACCATACATAATCAAGGAAGAACATTAGCTATGAAGACTAATATTAATAGGGTTATCAAATTGTCATTAACTAAGGCCATCAACTCTAACCATTAAGATTAGAGTTACAAATGTTAAAAACTCATTGTCACTAATATGGCCATCAACTCCATCATCAAAAGATGAAAGTTACAAAGGTTGAAAAACTCCATTACATTATATATATAAATAAATATATGTATATATATTGCGATTTAAATAATCTAACTAGATGGGTCGCAAAACAAATACAGGTGTTGAGTCACAACCCAATCCGAACCCATTCTAAAACATATGCACAAGAGAAGCCCAGCCCAACCCAACATAGCATAACCTGGCCTATGCCGAAGACTAAGTCCAACACATGCGCATACACAAGTTTGGGTCAATCCAGACCATGACTAAGACTAAGTCCAAGTCCAAGTCCAAACCCAAGCCCAAGCCCAAGCCCAACTTCTATTGATACTCACTTTATGAGACAATTCTCATTCACAACCTAATAGTTTCAGCTTACTATTTCTTTATTGCGACATTCTCTCTTAAGAGAATATGACACCACTTAAATCCACCTCAAACAATAGTTGGATTCCACTTTGATTTCAAATTAAAGTTGTGAAAAATTATTATTTTCCAACAATCCCCCACATGAATAAAATTTGTCGAATAAAGAAAAACGGACAACACTTAATAACAAAGACTCGAAGAGAGAGTACACAAAATAACCCTACATTAGAAAGGTAGCTGTTGGCCTTGAACCTTTCGTAGTGAAAGGCTGTTGGATTTACTAGCTGACCAGTGAACGTGATGTCTTGAACTGTTCTACCATTTGTGTAAACTAAGATAATAGACCTCACATAGGAGTCACTCTAACCATTGTTCTTGTTCTCACTGATGTGCTCGGTTTGGCCCTGGAACACTAACCCAATTTAGTGAGTGTTTTTAAAGAATTCGACCCTATCAATTCTTAAAGAAACGGCCCCACTTCACACTCACATAAGTGACCTACATAAGGTAGCTCGTTATATCACGGTTGACTATTCACAGCACTTAGGTCATTAAAAGTATCAGCTTAACCTTCCACCCCACATGATATCACTATATAAAGGAATAGGCAAGAGGATTTGTCTCCTCAGTGACTCACCTGTTACATGCAATTAGGTTGTCCCTTTGAATCTAGATCTTGGGATCTCTAATCAACTAGGTTGGGTTTTCCGTTCTAGTAACATTTGCACAAAAGGCCTTAACCCCACTTCTCTTAACGACTTCTTACTAACTCTTGACTTAACCCTTAAGTTAACAGATCCGTAATATTGTCCTCAAACTGTATGGAGTCTATTACGACAACACAAGAGAGTAGTTATCGTATGAAATTATGTCTTCGGCGAAAATGTCTAGACCTTCCATTATACGTATTATTATGTGCCCTACCAATACTTGATTGATTGTCGCAAAGTATACAAAATTGCTAGCACAAGTTTTGATCAACATGGAATATCCTCAAGAAAACAGTAAAACCATCTAGCTACATCAGTAGCTTTATCTAAATCACTGAATTCCGATTCCATTATTGATCTCGTGATACACATCTACTTGAAAGATCTCCAGGACACGGTTAAAACTCCAATTAGAGAAAACATATCCACTAATATATTTGTAGTCTTTATATCCAGTAGATGCCTTTGTACCCTTCTAGTACAACTAGATATCAAATGTTATACAATCCATAATCTCGGCTTCATCGTAAGTACATTAGTACCCACAACAACGCCTTCTAAAGATAGGCATTAGCATTACTCGTATATTTATTTAACCTGCTAACTAAGTAGGCTATACCCGACCTTGTGCAACTCATCAGATACTTTAAACTAACAATAACCCGAGAATATTCTAGTTGAAATACACTTTCAATATTATTCTCGGCCAAATGTAGACTCAAGTCTACCAGTATCTTTAACACACTTGTATCCGATTTACTAAATTTCTCCAGTATCAAATCAACATAATAAGGCCGAGAAAGTTTACCATTGGATGTTGTCGTAAACTTAATACCTAGAATTACATATGCAAGGCCAATATATTTCATGTCAAACTTAGAGTTCAACAATTTCTTAATAGTTATGAACATCTTCTCATAATTACCAAATGTACAGACATAAACTGACATATCTATTTGTAAGTGTCTTTGACATCCACACAATTGTCAATGCATGTTTATTTAAAACCCATTTGACAACATTGTGTCGTCAAATTTCACATGCCAGTGTTACAATGTAATAGTTGTTTTTGGGTGACCACTCAAGTAGTCATTTGGTTGCTCGAGCAGCAATTTGTAGCTCATAGTATCTCACAAGTTTGCAAGCAAGACAGCTTGAGCGAAGAAATGGTCACTTGGGCGAAGAATGCAAGCTCCCAATATTTTTCACTGTAGCCCTGCAAAACTTTTGAGACCTTGCATTTACTGCTCGAGCAATGGAAAGTTCGCTCGACTGGTCCCTTTGTATTTTGGCACATCACTTGAGTGAAGGAAAGTTCGCTCGAGCGGTCTGGTCAGGACAGCAAAGTTATATTGCGATCCGAACATTGTTCCAAATCATTTCTTCCACACTCCTTGTCTCTCTAACAACCTCTTTCTAAAACCCAAGTTAGGAAACTGTAGATTTTATCTAAATAGAGCAAGAATCAATCCTTGGGCTTTCATTAAAGTTGTTTTCCTCATTAAGAGCTACGTTTTGAGCTGAATAGATTGTGGTATTTTGGAAGCTCATTGGTGGGCCTTCATCTTTCATTGTACAACCATGAGGTAGGAATACATTTACCATTATATATTTATATTTTGGCCTCAATGTGTGTGAATCTTTTGACTTTACGGATAATGGATAAGTAGAATTGGGGAGTCCTAGTGATTGTTTGTGTTGTGATTAAAATGTTGATATTTTGAAATATATTTGAGGTGCCCACGTGCCCAGTTTGTATAAGGATGACGAATGTGGGAATGTGTTTGAGGTGCCCATGTGCCTGGTTCGCATGAGGGCGACTAATGTGCGGATGTTGTGAGGTGTCCATTAGCCAGTTCGTGTGAGGACGACGAAAATGGAAAGGTTTAAGGCATCCATAGGTCATTCGTGTGAGGACCGAAAAATGTGGAGGTTGAATGTAAATTGTGTGATGTGGAAAAGTTTAAAAAAAAATATATGTGAATTATTGGGCATTAATAAAGGTCATGCATATTTAAATCAAATGTTTATATACTTGGTTAAAGTTATTCTCTGTTGGGCAATTGCTCACTCTTATTTACTAACCTTTCAGGGAATTAAAAGCCCCAAACCCGTCTATGAGGAAGAAGAAAAGGACTTTCAATTTTTTTTGTAAAATCAAAAATTTTGTAAACTTGAAGTTGTAATATAATGATGAAACTCCTCTTCTTAATTTTATTTGAGTTGTGTATTTTTGTATTAAGGGGCAAAATGTAATTGTTTTGTAACTTTCTCTAACTCATTGAACTGAAATCTATATTTTGTAATCCTTGTAACATGAATCTATAATTCAATGAGAAAGAGAAACATTTAAATGAAATTGTATTATTTGGATGTTTGGAACATTCTATTTTGATTGCTCCGTGGGATTTACATCCGGGCATTACAAATTGGTATTAGAGCGTACCGGGTTGAATACCAGGAGCTCGTGGGAAGTGGCTTTGTCACACTGGGTTGTCATGCTAGAATGAGGAGTTTATGGTTTTATTTGATTACGTTTTTATGTGAATAGGTGTATATAGGGTCAATCCTCTAAGATATGACTTATGTTCACTACATTCATCGAAGTCCCTTTGGAAAGGCATCTGGTCAATGCTTTTTCCACTGGAAAATCCTTGAACGTCATGAAATGAGTTGATATCCTGGGAAAGGGATCCATATGTGTTTTGTTTGTTTATGTACTTATGTGTTGAGGATGAGATTGTGACTTGAAGAGAAGTGATGAGCTAGTATATGAATTGCGAGTCAATCTTGTCTACATCTACTCTTATATAGGATGTCTAGAGAGGTCGTTGCAGGCCTTGTTGAGGTGGTCGGGATATCTCAGCTTAACCAGAGATCCCTCCTCAAGAAAAAGGAATAGGTCAAAACAATGTAGCCGCTCCACTGGCCCAAGATGCTATGGGAGTGCCAGCTCAAGAGATGGCCAGAGCCCTTAGAGAGTCAATGGATATTCTCAGAGCCAAGCAAGCTGCTAGAACTATTAAAGGGAAGACTAGAGTTTCTTTCTTGAAAAAAAAAAAAAAGTTTTTTCGTTCCAATCCTGTGGAATTTCTTAGGGGTGTTGAACCGTTAAAGACAGATGAATGGCTTAAGCCAATGATCAAATCTTTTGAGATTTTAGATATTCGAGATGGTGAACTTCGGATAGCGCTTGCTAGTTATCAATTGAAGGGGGATATCAGCCAATGGTGGAAATATGCCAAGGGTTGAATTAAGCATACTTGGGAGGCATTTTCTCATGCCTTTCAAGAGAAATACCTTCCTCCAATTGCGAGGGAACGTTTGCGGAGAGAGTTTGAGGAAATTGAACAATCTGACTCCACCGTAGGGGAGTTTGAGGCTACCTTTACGAGTTTATCTCGTTTTGAACCAAATCTTGTGGCTATAGAAAAACGTAGGTGTCTAGAGTTTGAGAAGAGACTGAGGCCGAGAATCTTGATGAAGGTGATGGGAAATATGATCCAAGATTATGACCGGTTAGTGAAATCCATGACACGCATTGAGATCATGCTTGAAGGCAAGAAAAAGAGACAGCGACTAAAGAGGCAAGGGTTTATCGAGTCTCGAGGGGATTCTATGGTATCCAAAAGGTCGAAGAGTTCTACATCTTCTCATCTACCACTGTTACTGGCTGTGTCATTGAATCATATATCAGGAAAGAGTATGGATAGTACAGGACAAAGTTGGATTACTTGTTATCGATGTGGTGAGCAAGGTCATAAGTCCTTTACATGTCCACGAAGACATCAACCTTCTATTCGTCTTCAGAATCAGACCTTGGGTGGAAGTCAATTGCTCGCTTGTTATTAGTGTGGCCAGCCGGGTCATATGAAGAAGTTTTGTCCTCATATTGCTGGGACAACCAGTGCTTCAGGGTTTTAGGCAAAACAGAGCCAAAGGCAAATTCATCAGCCAGTTCAGTCTGGACAAGCTTCTAGAGTTATACATAGGGCTACCTCCGCACAGTCCGTGCAACATGCCTATCATCAGAGGGATGAGAAGAGTGAATAGAGGGCCCAAGGGAGAGTCTATGTAATTACTGCATCCGAGCAGTCTACTGGGCCGATGGTGATATGAGGTACGTATCTTATATATAATACTTGGGCCCATGTGTTGATAGATACGGGGGCATCTCATTCATTTATAGCATTTCCATTTGCATCCATATTGGGGTTAGAGGCTGAACCATTAGAATATTCTCTTATGGTAGAATCGTCAGTTAGGAGTAAGATGGTATTGAACCACAGGGTGTCGCGAGTGTGCGATTAAAGTTGCTGACCGCAGACTTCCATTTAGTTTGGTGTTGTTAGAGATGACGGGTTTTGATGCCATCATCGGTATAGACTAGTTGTCCGCTTATTGTGCTGTGATAGATTGCTACTGAGGAAAAATTACCATATGTACTGCTGGGGGTGACTGTTTTTATTTTATGGGGGATAGAACTGATAGACTTTTAATGCCGTCATATGACTCTCAGAGTAAAGGCAAATTCGCTTCCCTTATTGCAACCTTGATGAATGATGGGAACAGTGAAATACAAAGAGTATTCCTTATGGTGGTTTGTGAGTATTTAGAAGTTTTCCGGAGGACCTTACCGAGCTACCACCTCATCGTAAGGTTGAGTTTCCTATAGACCTAGTGCCGAGTACGACACCCATTTCTATGTCATCCTATAGATTTGCTCTGGCAGAGTTACTCATTTTGAAGAAGCAATTACAAGAGTTATTGGACAAGAGTTTTATGCACCCTAGTACCTCGCCCTGGAGAGCACCAATTCTCTTTGCGAAGAAAAAGGATGGTTTCTTGTGGCTATGCATTAATTACCGTAAGCTAAATAGAGTCATGGTTAAGAATAAGTACCCGTTGCCTAGATAGATGATCTTTTTGACCAACTCAAGAGTTCTCTATGTTTTTCAAAGATAGATCTAAGATCAAGCTACCATCAGTTACGTGTGAAAGAAGAGGATATTCTGAAACAACCTTTCGTACTTGTTATGGCCGTTATGAATTCCTTGTGATGCTGTTTGGTTTAACCAATGCTCTGGCCACCTTTATAAACTTGATGAATCGGGTTTTTCAAGAATATCTTAACAAATTTGTGGTAGTTTTTGTGGATGATATTCTTATATATTCACTTTCTGAGGAAGAACATGAGGTGCACCTTCGCATTGTGTTGCAATTACTTAGGGAGCACAAATTATATGCTAAGTATGAAAAGTGTGAGTTCTGGCTCTCCGAAGTGAAATTCTTGGGTCACGTTGTTTCTAATGATGGGGTTACCGTAGATTCTTCAAAGATTGAGGCGATACAGAATTAGGAGCGACCTAAGAATGCATTTTAAATCCGTAGTTTCTTAGGTCTTGCTAGTTACTATAGACGGTTTGTGAAAGACTTCTCCACGTTAGTTTCTCTGTTGACTATGCTAATAAGAAATGGGGTGAAGTTTGTTTGGAATGAATTATGCGAGAAATCCTTCTTAGAGTTGAAGGCTAAGTTAACCACTGCACCAGTTCTATTCATCCCTGAAAGAGGTCTGGGTTACACTGTCTATTGGGATGCCTCTACGAAAGGTTTGGGATGTGTTTTGATGCAAAAAGAAAAACGAGAGGAATTATCCAACCCATGATTTAGAGCTAGCTGCAGTTATTTTTGCCCTAAAATTGTGGAGAAATTACTTGTATGGGGAGAAATTTGAGGTGTTCTCAGATCGTAGAAGCCTTATATACTTATTTTCTCAAAAAGATTTGAATTTAAGTCAAAGAAAGTGGATGGAATTTTTGGAAGATTATGATTTTGAATTACACTACCATCCCAGAAAAGCCAATGTGGTGGCCAATGCCTTGAGTAAAAATTCCTTGAGTACCCTTGCTAATCTTGCAATTAGGAAATGGGAAATATTGGGTGATTTGGATGAATTTAATTTGCATCTTGGTGAATCTTCTGAACATGCCACTTTGTTTTCCATCCTTGCATAACTGACACTTGTAACTCGGGTTACAGAAGCACAATAGGGTGACTTAGAAGTTGAAGCAATCAAGGAGAAGATTGCACAGGGAAGGGGGAAAAGGGTTTGAGGATAGATTCTGAATCAAATGTTCGATATCTAGACTTTTTTTTTGTACCTGAGTCATGTAGAGAAGAAGTACTTTGAGAATTTCACCACTCCTGTCTTGCAGTACATTCAGGGGCTATAAAAATGTACCAAGATCATAGCCGACAATTTTGGTGAAGGGGTATGAAACAAGATATGGCATCATTTGTGTCCAAATGTCTAACTTGTCATCAAGTCAAGGTAGAACATCAATGACCCATCGGGTTATTACAACCCTTGCCTATCGTAGAATGGAAGTGGAAACATATCACTATGGATTTTGTTTCGGGCATCTGTAGAACACAAAGGAGTAATGACACAGTTTAGGTGGCGATGGATCGATTAACTAAGTCGACTCATTTTCTCCCTATGTGTATGGGGGACTCATTTGATTACCTGGCAAAACTTTATGTTAAAGAGATTGTCCAGCTTCTTGGGGTTCCTGTGAGTATTGTCTCGGATTGAGACCCTCATTTCACCGTACAGTTATGTCAAAGCCTATAAACGATTATGGGCACTCAATTGAATTTTAGCACCGCTTACCATCCACAAACTAATGGACAGTCCGAGCACACTATCCAAATCTTAGAAGATATGTTGAGAGCTTGTGTGCTAGATTTTAAAGGTTCTTAGGAGAGACACCTACCTTTAGCGGAATTTGCTTACAATAATAGTCATCAAGTAAGTATTGGAATGGCTTCTTTTGAAGCTTTGTATGGTCAGCCATATAGGTCACCAGTGTATTGGACTGAGGTGGGAGATTCACCTATGCTTTGACCGAAATTAGTTTGTGAAACCACTGAGAAAATAGCTCTCATTCGGAAACAGTTAGTTACAACTCAAAGTCGACAAAAGAGCTATGCTGACAGGAGAAGAAGACCTTTCTCTTTTGATGTAGGCGATCATGTATTCTTGAAGATATTACCTAGAAAGGGCTTAATGAGATTTGGGGGAAGCTGTAAGTTGTCACCAAGGTTCATTAGCCCATTATAGAACGAGTGGGAGAGGTAGCTTATCGCCTTGCATTGCCCCCGCAATTATACAAAGTGCACGATGTGTTTCATGTCTCCATGTTTCGCAAGTATGAACCTGATCAATCCCATGTTTTGGATTGGATAAATTTGGAGGTGGACGAGAATGCTTTTTACGAAGAAAGACTGATGCAAATTTTGGACACCCGGGAACAAGTTTTAAGAGACAAAGTCATACCTTTAGTGAAAGTATTATGGCACCACCACGGAGTGGAAAAGGCCACTTGAGAACAAGAAACTAAAATTCGTGAGAAATATCCAGATTTGTTTATTGACACCTAAACTTGTCGTTTGTAAATTTTTAATCATTGTTTGAGAGGTTGTAAAGGGAAGTGAATGAAAGAACTCTAAATTTCCATGTATATGTTTGAGGTTAGCTTTGATTTTGCTTTGATTTAAGAAGTAGTGATGGTTAAGATTATTGTTATGGTGATATCCATCTTTTTGGGAATTGTTAGAATTGTTTTGGCTGGAACTGTTCAAATTTCGAGGACGAATTCCTTAAGGGAGATAGGCTATAACAACTGTTTTTGGGTGACCGCTGGAGTGGTCATTTGGTCGCTCGAGCAAAGATTTGTAGCTCCCAGTATCTCGCAAGTTTGCAAGCGAGACCGCTCGAGCGAAGGAATGGTCGCTCAAGTGAAGAATGCGAGCTTTTAGCATTTTCACTATAACTCTGCAAAACTTCTGAGACCTTGCATTTACTGCTGGAACGGTCTCTTTGTATTTTGGCACTTTGCTCAAGCGAAGGAAAGTTCGCTCGAGCAGTTTGGGTGGGACGGCAAATTTATATTGCGATATAAACATTGTTCCAAATCATTTCTTCCACTCTCTTTCTCCTTCTAACAGCCCCTTTCCAAACCCTAGTCAGCAAACTCTAGATTTCATCTAGATAGGGCAAGAATCAATCCTTAGGCTTTTATTAAAGCTGTTATCCTCATCAAGAGCTACGTTTTGAGCTGAATAGATCGTGGTATTTCGGAAGCTCATTGGGTGGACCTTCATCTTTCGTTGTACAAGCTTGAGATAGGAATACCTTTACCCTTGTATATTTATATTTTGACTTAAATGTGTGTGAATCTTATGGTGTGTTGAACTATTGAGATGGATGTGGTATATATATATATATGTACTCTGATGAATGAATTAATATATATTGTCTTCTTTAAATAATGCCTGTCTATGATATATATAATGGGTTATTTTTGAGGACGTTACATGAATCAATGAAAATAAATAATTGAATGGAAAAGCCTAAATTTTCATATAAGTAACCCTAAGGGTTATGGTTGATTTTGACTTAACAGATAATGGATAAGTAGAATTGGGGAGTCCTAGTGTGATTAAAATGTTGATATTTTGAAATGTATTTGAGGTGCCCATGTGCCCGATTCATGTGAGGACGACGAATGTGGGAATGTGTTTGAGGTGCCCACATACTTGGTTCATGTAAGGGTGACAAATATGGAGATATTATGAGGTGTCCACTAGCCGGTTTGTGTGAGGACGACGAAAGTGGAAAGGTTTGAGGCGTCCACAGGCCATCTGTGTGAGGACGGAAAAATGTGGAGATTAGTTTTTAAAAGAAATATGAACTCTTGGGCATTAATAAAGGTCATGCATATTTAAATCAAATGTTTATATACTTGGTTAAAGTTATTTTCTACTGGGCAATTGCTTACTCTTAT